TTTTTTTTCCTTTTAGAATGTAAGCTCCTCATGAGCAGGGACAATGTTTTCTGTATGTTCTATTGTGCCTAGTACACTGTAAATGCTCAATAAATATTGATGATGGGAGGCAGTGAGTCTTCATGACAAGGGTGAGAAACTGAAATCCCAAACACTGTTTTGTTGCTTGTTTTATTATCTCAAAATTGAATTGGGAAATATCAGCCCTTTTGGACAATTGTCCCAAATACTAGCATTCAAATAAAAGTGCAATGAAGGTCTTGGGGTGTTTATTTCCAAGAGGAAAGATCTCATCTATTTGGGACATAATGAATCTTGGTTCATAGCTCTTTTAATTTATTGATACCTCTTGATCCAGGCCAAGTAGGTGAAGTAATCACTTTTATAGCTACGCTGGGTTCTCATTTAAGTAAATTATAAATAAAACCTGAAAGTAGTCATTTTTTTTTAAAGGATTGTTTTTTAATGGTTGTATGTTTTCTTGTTAGCTGTTTATATGCATTTGGCATTTGTTAGACTAGTTTGGTTCTTTTTTTTTTTGGAACCGGGGATTGAACTCAGGCCCTTGCGCTTGCCAGGGAAGCGCTTATTCCACTAAGCCATCTCCCCGGCCCTAGTTTGGTTCTTGAAATAGTTTAAAATGCTTAATTAGCTACTTAGTGTTTTCTGCATTGTAGTGTCTGGTAGATAAATGGAGATTTCCAATCTGAGTCTTACCCCTTGGAATTTGAATAAATTTGTCGTTTATATTGTTTGTTTGTCCCAAATCAGGGTTTTAACATGATAGTGTCAGGAATCAGAGACTCCAGCAGTATGCTTTGTATATGTGAAATAACTAGAGTTAGTTGTTAAGAAGAAAGGCCTTCTAAAGTTGTCCTTTGGATGTGGAGCAGGTTTCGTGCAGCTCTGATTTTTTTATTTGACTTCATTTTGTAAAAAGAATGGAGAGTTGGGGGTGTAAAAGTATGTCCAGGGTAGTTATAGGGACTGTCTTTCTATAAGATAATCAGCACTTCCTAGGGCCCCTATGAAGGCAGACTTAGAAGCTGGAACCTTGTAGTTAGACCTCAAATTGAGAGTGAAACAGACCTCCACAGAGATCCAAAATCTAGCTCTTAATGCAGAACCAAGATCTTAGAAGACGTCAGCAGTGTGCACTGTGAGAACATTTGGTTTTGAGTTGTCATACACCAGGGAGGTTAAGAGTGTTGAGGTGATGGCTGAGCCTGGGCACCTGGAAAGTGGCAAGAGTTGGGATTCTTTTCCTCAGCATGAAATCTAATGTTTTGACAATGATAGTCACAATCTCACTGGTTAATTTTAGTTCCCTGAGAACTTGAAGGACCCAAAAAGATTTTGGTGTCTAGCTAAATTTTTGGTACTGATTTTTTAATAAGCCTTGTCGGTGGCCTCAAGTATGAGAACCCATCCCAGTAGTGCATCTGCTTATTCTGCCTGTGTATTTGGTGACTATTGACATCTGTGTGTTTTAAAGCCTGGAAGTTGCTGGAATATTGATAGGCCAGTATTTTGGAGGACCCTTTGCACTTGCCATATAATACTATTGGCCCTGTCTTGGTTTGTAAGCCATTATACCAAGTGACAAGTGTGTGTGATCTTGGCATGTGGAAAAGCTAAGAGTGAATAAATTCACACATAGATGGTGGCAGAGGCCTTAACACTTAATCATAGTTGAATCTGTAACACTTCTCCAAAGTCCAAAACAGTAGGCTGAGGATGGTCAAAGGCGTATTTCCAATGACAGGACCCAGTGACAGTCCCTATCACTCTTGAGTAGGTCTTAAAAGTTTTCATTGGTTGGCTATGGCCAGCCATTGTTTTTGTGTTGATTTTCAAGTGACTGATACAGGTAACACTTGAGTGAATGGGCTACAGATAGAAGTGTACCAGGCATCAAGTGGAAGAAACTCAAGAGGAAAGTTATGTTCATGGAAACTACTTGACCTGTTGGCCCACCACACCATCAGCAAAGGTTTGAACCCATCTTTAGCCCATCTTGAGGGTGATCTCACCAAGTCACAAAATTGCCTACGGTGGGCTCAAGCTTGGTTCTGCCTTAGCCTTTGTGGAGTGCTAGGGCTGTAGGGATGCACCATTATACCCAACTTCATGCCCACATTTAATTCCCTACATCCTGTAAACATTCTCAAGTTTGTGTGAACCTGAGAACTTGAGAGCTTACACTCAGCCCGTGTTTTTAAGGTTGCCAATATTTGGAGTTGGTGCTCAGAAATGGGTGATATCTTTAGCAGACATGTTAATTTAAAAAGGTGTACCATATTTTACATTCTGAGCCAAAAGAATAGTAGTAAAACCAGAAGCCAGTACAGACCCCAAAAAGGTTTGTGAGTCTCTTGGCAGATCATGTTGTCTAGTGAACGTGGTTTTTAGTTTAGAAGCTTAGGTCATTTAGAACATTTACCACATTGGGGATGAAATTGCAACTTGAATTGTTTTGGATGGATATTTTTTTTTTTTTTAACCTTCTGTGTCATTTTAAAAGTCAACTCCAGGACTTAAAAGCAAACTTTACAGTGTTCAGAAGATGTCATAAAACTATAGTGTTAAGAATAAGTGAATAAAGTAGACAAGCTGTGTACTTTGATGCATGTCTGTAGTCCCACCACTCTGGAAAGGCCGACACGGGACTTAAGAGTTGGAGCCCAGCTTGGGCAGTTTTGTGGCCTGATGACATCCTGTCCCCAAAATGGGCAGAGATGGGTTCAAGCCCTTTGCTGCAGGTTGGCTTTGCTGCAGCCCAAGTGGAAAACGGGCAGAGGGGGCTGGAGGTGGGTCCCAGTGGTGGAGCTTCTCCAGCATGTGCCAACCTCTAGGCTCAGTCCCCAGGACAGGAGAAGGTGGGCAATTCATGAAAGGAAATACTTGGACAGTACAATGGAAAGTTTAACTGGGAGGTGCACACCAAAACCACAGCAAGGCACAAGTTGACCCCCATTAGATTAGTGTGGTTTAAAAGTATGGCTATGCCAAATGTTGGAGATCTTTATTTTTTTGGCGGAACCAGAGATTGAACTCAGACCCTTGCGCTTGCCAGGGAAGCGCTTATTCTCCTGAGCTATCTTCCCGGCCCCTGAGATTCTTTTTATATGGTGGTGGGAGTTTAAATTGGCATGGCATAGTA